TTTTTTTTTTTTTTTTTTTTTGAGATAGTATCTCACTCTGTGGCTCAGGTTAGAGTGTAGCAGCCCAACAATAAATAGCTTATTATTACCTTGAACTCCTGGCTCACGTGATCCTCCCACCTCAGCCTACCAAGAAGCCGGGACTATAGGCACATATCACCAGAACTGGTTAATCATTTTTTTTTTTTTTTCTTTTTTGTAGAGACAGGGTCACTCAGGCTGGTCTTGAAGTCCTGGCCTCAAGTGATCCTCCAACCTCAGCCTTCCAAAGTGTTGGGATTATAGGTGTGAGCCATTGATAACAGGATTTCCCTGCTCAGGGCTGGAGAGAGCCCCCCGCTTCTCTAGGCCCAGGCAAGCTCAGAAATTAGACCCTCCAACTGTAGGCACAAACAGACTATCCTTTCTAGGACACACCCTCTGGGCTCCAGCAAGGTCATGAACAAAGCAGCCTAAGAGGTTTTGGATGGTTCCACCTTGAGTAGGGAGGCACACCCTAATCCCTTCCCTGGGGCAAAAACTGCAAAGACCTAATACTATATATACCCCTAGACAAAAGAACCCTGTGGGAGACTTCCAACTTGGGTCTTCCCCATTGCCAGAAGCTCTGGTGCTTTTTACTCCTACTGTATTCCTTTCTGCTAATAAAATCCTATCTTACCGGCTCAGTGAGGGTAGCTCAATGGCTAGGGCACCAGCCACATACACTAGGGCTGGCGGGTTCAAACCCGGTCCAGGCCTGCCAAACAACAATGGCAACTACAACAAAAAATTAGCAGAACGTTGTGGCAGGAGCCTATGGTCCCAAGCTACTTGGGAGGCTGAGGCAAGAGAATTGCTGAATCACTTTAGCCCAAGAGTTTAAGGTTGCTGTGAGCTGTGATGTCATAGCACTCTACCAAGGGTGACACAGTGAGATTCTATCTCAAAAAAAAAAAAAAATTCTCTCTCTCACCTTCTCTCTTCTCTCTCTCCTCCTCTCTCTCCTCTTTTCTCTTCTCTTCCCTCTTCTCTTTTATCTCCTCCTTAGTGCTGCTCTGCAGCATCCAAAAAAAAAAAAAATTCTCTCTTACCACTGATCTGTGGCCCATGGGTTCATTCTTCAAATCCCTGAGACAAAGGACTGAAGAAAGAAATTCCAGTAACACCATCATGCCTGGCCAAACTTTTTTTTTCAGACAGCGTATGAAGTTGTAACCCTCAGTAGAGTGCTGTGGAGTCACAGCTCACAGCAACCTCCAACTCCTGGGCTTAAGCGATTCTCTTGCCTCAGCCTCCCAAGTAGTAGAGACTATATGCACCCACCAGAACGCCCAGCTATTTTTTGGTTGAAGTTGTCATTTTTTTTTTTTGTTAGCTAGCCCAGGCTGGTTCAAACCCACCAGCCTCGATGTATGTGGTTGGCACTGTACACACTGAGGTATGGGGGCGGCCCGGGCCAAACTAATTTTAAACAATAGAACCTTGAACTATTATGAATGTAATAAGCTCTTAACCTAAAGCTATTTTCCAAGCCCTGTTCTAAGTACTTTAGAATATTAACTTGACCCTGGCACTGTGGCTTGTGCCTTTAATCCTAGCACTTTGAAAGCCTGAGGCCAGAACATTACTTGAGGACAGGACCAACCTGGGCAATACAGCAAGACCCTGTCTCAACAAAAAATTATACAATTAGCCAGGCACGGTGGCTCACGCCTATAATCCTAGCACACTGGAAGGCTGAGGCAGGTGCATTGCCTGAGCTCAAAGGTTTGAGACCAGCTTGAGCCAGAGTGAGACCTTGTCTCTAAAATAGCTGGGTGTTGTGGCAGGCGCCTGTAGTCCTGTAGCGGGAAACTGACGCAGACAAAAAAAGACTCCAGGCACCAGTTGGAAGAGGAAGTGGCTTTATTCACTGGCCAAGAGACTCCGTGGACTAGTGTCCTAAAAACTGCGATCCCCAACTCAATCTCTTGCCTGTGTTTTATACGCTTTTAGGGCTTGAGCACACATGAAAGTCATGGAAGACATGAGAGACGTGAGAGTCTTGTGATGCAGGGGAAGGTCAGGTTGTCCCGTGCCCTTGGTACCAGGCTACCTGGCCTCAAAGGAGCCACCAGGTTAGGGAAGTTACAAGATTACTACATAGGTTCAGCAGGTACCTGGGAAGGGCATGTAGATAACAGAGACATCTGCTGCAGTAGAGGTAGTAGGGTTACAGACTGTCTGGCTAATGCCTGTACAGAGCAAATGGCACAGAATTTAGCTCTGCTTTTACTCTCTTGCCTCAGTCCCAGCTACTTGGGAGGCTGAGGCAAGAGAATTGCTTGTGCCAAAGAGTTTCAGGTTGCTGTGAGCTATGACACCACGGCACACTACCGAGGGCAACAAAATAAGACTCTGTCTCAAAAAAAAAAAAGAGTTCAAGGTCACAGTGAGCTGAGATCATACTCCTGCATTCCAGCCTGAGTGACAGAGCAAGCTCCCATTTTTGACTTTTTTTGCAGTTTTTGACTGGGGCTGGGTTTGAACCTGCCACCTCTGGCATATGGGGCCGGCACCCTACTCCTTTGAGCTACAGGCACCACCCTCAAGTTCCTATTTTTGAAAGGAAAAAAAAAAAAAACAGCTCAGATAATCCTTACAACAGTCCTGTAAGGCAAATAGCAACACTATCCTTATTTTAGGAATGGTACAGAGCCAAACTTCAAATCCAGGAAGACCTGGATTCAGAGTCCTTACTTTTTTTTTCAAGACAGGGTTTCATTCTGTCACCCCAGTTATGGTGTCATAACTCACAGCAACTTCAAACTCCTGGGCTCAAGCAATCCTTCTGCCTCAGCCTCCTGAGCAGCTGGGACTATAGGCTGTGACCCACAAATGCCTGGGGCTAATTTTTTATATTTTTGGTAGAGATGGGGGTCTCACTCTTGCTTAGGCTGGTCTTGAACTCCTGACCTCAAGTGATCCTTTATAATCTAGCTCTCTGGGAGGTAGAGTCCTTACTCTTAATTACTATGCTATGTACTGATTGTATTACCCAAATATGTTGTTTGATACAGTAATCAATAGCTACATGTGACTATTTTTGTTAATTAAAATTAAATAAAATTAAAAGTTCAGTTCCCCACTAGCTAGTTACATTTCAAGTGGTGAATAATTACATGTAGCTAATAGCTGTTGTGTTAGATAGCACAGAGAATATTATCATCTTCATAGAAAGTTGAACAGCACATTTCTACAACTACACTGTCAAAGTCTGCCAACGTTAGTAATAGTTTTGAATTTTGCCTCTTCTGTGCTAGGTTCACTTTTATTAGGCCCCTATTATGTGCTGGGTAATTTCTAGGTTTGGGTACTACAAGGGTTATCCACGGACATAGTCCTGCTTCTATGGTAAAGTTTAATAGACAGATGTTAACACATGACATGGCAAAGCAGTAGAGTTATGGATATAATCTTTTGAGTAAGGGGCCCTGGGACAAGTATATATCCATATGGGAAAAAATGAAATTGTATCCCTATCTTGTACCATATACAAAAATTAATTCCTCTTGGATTATGGATTTAAGTGGGAAAGGCAAAATCTTAAAACTTCCAGCATTCGTTAAGAGTACCTTTTTTGGGCTCGGCGCCTATAGCTCAACCGGCTAAGGCGCCAGCCACGTACACCTAAGGTGGCGGGTTCTAATCCCCAGCCCGGACCCGCCAAACAACAATGATGGCTGCAATCAAAAAATAGCCGGGTGTTGTGGCGGGCGCCTGTGGTCCCAGCTACTTGGGAGGCGGAGGCAGGAGACTCGCTTGAGCCCAGGAGTTGGAGGTTGCTGTGAGTTGTAATGCCACGGCACTCTACCCAGGGGGACAGCTTGAGGCTCTGTCTCAAAAAAAAAAAAAAAGAGTACCTTTTTTGGATATACACCTAGCAGAGGAATTGCATTATGGTATATGTAAAAAAAAAAAAAAAGAAAGAAAATCTTTTTTTTTTGAGACAGAGTCTTACTATGCTGCCCTCGGTAGAGTGCTATGACGTCACAGCTCACAACAACCTTAAAACTCTTGGGCACAAGCAATTCTCTTGCCTCAGCCTCCCACGTAGCTGGGACTATAGGTGCCTACCACAATGCCTGGCTGTTTTGTTGTTTTTGTTGTCATTGTTGTTTAGCTGGTTGGGACTGGGCTTGAACCTGCCAGCCTCGGTGCATGTGGCCGGCACTATAATCACTGTGCTACAGGTGCCGAGCTTCAGTAAGAATATCTTCTTGACTTCAGGACAGAGAAAGAGTTGTTAGGATACAAATACAACTGGCCAAAAAGATACAGATGGATAAATTTGGCTGCAGTGAAATGTAGAATTTCTGTTCATCAAAAAATATTAAATCAGAGGTTATCAATTGGCTATAGAAGTATTTGTTTAGCCCTCAGAATATTCTCAAAATATATATTTAATTAATTGTCCACAATTAAAAATTAGGATATTTTAAATAAAAATCTGGGTTTTCAACTTTCTTTTGAAAAATTGGAAGATTTGGAAACACTAGGCCTCCAATTCCTCATGGCCACAAGCAGGAGCTGCAGGTACCCTTTCTTGAGGCCAGTCTACACGGGCCCCAGTTCATCTTGTTTTGCAAAAACTGTCCATACTGGACTTTTACAATACGTATATTCATATACATTTTGAAATACTTTCATCAAGCTGGTTCACATAAATTTCATGTCATTTGCATAGTCACAATACTTATATTCAACAAACACAGAAATAACTTAGTAACTACCAAGTGCAATAGATGCTTAGTAGGAAAAAGTATTGGGTTTTATAAGAAAGGGGCCTTGTTTTGAATCAAGAAAGGATCTGGGAGTGATACCTGAGCTGGGGCAAGCTGGCAGGGCAGCAGTGAGTGGTTCAGCAGACTGCATTTGTAAATTCCTTCATCATGCAAAGGGTAGGACCCAGATACAGTCCTGCACTCTACTGTGTAGGTCCCACAATAGTCCTACTGCTAATTATTAAGGACAAGGGGAAGGAAGAGTGAACTCAACGAGAGGAAAAAGGGCACATTAGCTGGGAGCCATGATCTAGGACTTTCCAGTAGCCACACTATTAGGACAGGTAACTGTATCCAGTAAGCCAGGAACAATGGGAAAATTATTAGGCATGGGGTGAAAAGAACCCAGAGCTTTCTTTTTATGTTTGGAGACATGATTGCCATGAAAATAAGAAATCCTCCAGAAATGAAACCGAATTAACAACTGGATCCAGTGATAATGAGCTTTCTGGGGCACTGGTCCACAACAGCCCCACATTCTGTGCTCAGCAGCTGCAGAGCCAATTTCTTCTTCCCTTACAAATGACCTGCTTTTTTCCTGATGCTGTATATTCTTTCAGAGCCAGACAATCTCATTTCTCTGCATGCTATAGATCTCTTCAAAGAGAGCTCTGGGCACAAAGGAGATACATGGGGCGTGGAGAATAATATGAATATGGTCTCCAACTCAATGCTGTTATGTGGCAAATGTTCCATTTACAAGAGCATGTCCCAAGGGTTAGAATTCTTATTTAAGTGCTGTCACAGAAATAATGTTGGTACTTTCTAATCTGATGTGTTTTAATGTTTTTATGATAGGTTCCATACTCATCAAAAAAGAGGCCACACTTTCCAGCACTTAAAAAAAAGAAACATGGTATGGAAAGCATCCTCCGAAAATCAGACTTGACAGTAGGAAACCTTCAAATGCAGGTAGTGGACAAAGGCTTTTGTGTCTCAGAAGCATCAGACAGCCAGGCTTAACCGAATATACAGACCTGATAAACAGCAAGAATGTGGGAAGAAATGAGTGATTAGCATTTTAAAAAGTGGGAGGGCATTTTAAGAGCAGCTTAAGGATTGTTAAGGGCATTGAGGATGATGCTGTGTGCTTAATAAATATTAACTTAATAAGGTGAAAGTATATACATATGCTTCTTTTAAGAAGAAATGAGGTCATCCTCACCACTAGGTGGTAAATGTATGTTTTCAAGCTCTGTTTGCTATGACTTGAATTAGAATAATACTTTGAGACTCGTAAAATATCCACCAACTTCTGAACTAATCTCTTAGGAAAAACAACTATCCCTTTGGTTTTTGACAAGGCTTTCTTTGTATACATATCTGTCATAGGTGGATGACCTCATAGAAACAGTGACTGACAAATCCATGAAGCTGTTGGCCCAAAGACATGCAGAGCTTCAACAGTGTGAGTTTCTAGGGGATGAAATTCTTCAGTCCTCTAAGCAGTTCCAGAGGATATCCAAGAGAACCATGAGGAAGTATAAATTGAAAAATGTATGTTTCCCATGGACCTGTTGCTGCTTCTGATTTTGTTCCTGACTGTGTAAAAGTTATCTTCATAGGGTTTCTAATCTTTTGGTATTTAATACTGAAGAAATCTCTCTAGTGAATTAATAGCAGAGGGGATTTTTTTTTTTGTTCAGGATATTGTAACTAACAGTACTTTAAAAAATAAAGATCATTTTGAAAAATTGAGGGATGGGCAAGATGGCTCACACCTGTATTCCTAGTACTCTGGGAAGCCGAAGTGGGTGGCTTGCCTGAGCTCAGGAGCTGGAGACCAGCCTGAGCAAGAATGAGACCCTGTCTCAAAAAATAGCTGTGTGTTGTGGCAGGCCCCTATAGTCCCAGCTACTTGGGAAGCTGAAACAAGAGAATTGCTTGTGTCCAAGAATTTGAGGTTGCCGTGAGCTCTGATGCCTCGGCACCAAGGGTAACAAAATGAGACTCTTGTCTCAAAAAAAAAAAAGAAAGAAAGAAAAATTGAGTTTTAATTCTGAGTCAATATGAGCAAATTTTTGCTTCATAATTCTTATGGAAAATAGAAACATATGTCATGACATAGCAATTCTTGCAAAGGAAATTCTCCCATGACTTGCCAGATGAAATTAGAGGAAGCATTTATAGGTATTATGACATATTTAATATGACTATAACTGAGATGATTTTAAACTTTCATTTTTAAAGATAAAATTCTTATTAGAATTACAGAAATGTAGCATTATTAAGGTAGAGTTCATCCAAGGTGTCATGTTTCTGAACTACAATAAATGGATAAATATGAAACTGAACAAGAACTGCACATATAATACTTGAGAAAATTACAAGTGGTTCAGCCTTAGTTTGATTTTTTTTTAAAAGATTATGAAATCTTTATTCAAGACAGTTAATTATTTACTTCAACTCTTTATCAATTTTTTTTTCCTATTGAAAATGGCTTCTAAAGAACAAACCAGTAGAGAGAAAACATCAACACAACATTTAATAAGCAAACTTATTGTGAATTAGGGAAAAAAATGTATAAAATGGACAGTGTATTAATTTATTTTGTATCTTGTAATTACTTCTCACAGCAGTGATTCTAAACATCATGGAACCTCTTCCTATAAAAAGCAAGTACTAGAAATGTTTTGCACATAATTTCACAGATTTTTGGCCCTCCTGAAGCTTATTCATGGACTCTATTTTTTTTTTTTTTTTTGAGACAGAGCCTCAAGCCTCAGTCCCCCTGGGTAGAGTGCCGTGGCATTACAGCTCACAGCAACCTCCAACTCCTGGGCTCAAGCTAGTCTCCTGCCTCTGCCTCCCAAGTAGCTGGGACCACAGGCGCCCGCCACAACGCCTGGCTATTTTTTTTTGGTTGCAGCTGTCATTGTTGTTTTGGCGGGTCTAGGCTGGGGATTCGAACCCGCCACCTTAGGTGTACGTGGCTGGCGCCTTAGCCGGTTGAGCTATAGGTGCCGAGCCATGGACTCTATCACAATTTCCAGAAATTGACCCATTTTCTCATATACATCCCAGAAATGCCACCTTCTTAAAATCTTCAACTTATTTTGTTTTTTTTTTTTTTTTTGAGACGGAGCCTCAAGCTATCCCCCTGGGTAGAGTGCCATGGCATCACGCTCACAGCAACCTCCAACTCCTGGGGGCTCAAGCGAGTCTCCTGCCTCAGCCTCCCAAGTAGCTGGGACTACAGGCACCCACCACAATGCCTGGCCATTTTTTGGTTGTAGCCATCATTGTTGTTTGGCGGGCCCGGGCTGGGGATTCGAACCCGCCACCTTAGGTGTATGTGGCTGGCGCCTTAGCCGCTTGAGCCACAGGCGCCGAGCCATTCAACTTATTTTGTAAGCCAATTAATGTTACCAATTAAAAACTACCTAGAACACTAATGAGCAAAAAGACATCCAGTTTGAAAATACTTTATTAAACATTTTTGGATGTTGCCTCCTACCTCTTAAGAATAAAAAATGCATTTCAATAAAAACAAATCTATATTGAAATAATTTTCCCTTATGTGAAGATACATGAATGAAATGCATATGAATATTTAAAAGCAAAATATTTCACTGCCAAAACTTTAAATATCTCAAGAGCACAACGTATTTAAACACACTTAAGATCATACAGCTATTTCAGTATTCTTAAGAATGACGAGTGATTAGCCTATCTATGGCTTAGGATCTGTTTCCAAGCTTATTTCTTCAGCTTCTTCTACCTCTGAGAGCTTTTCATCATCTGTAATTGAGAAACATAAAACTTTAGTTAAATGTGCCTAAATTTTATGTTTAATGGTAACATAAAAACATGTTTAGCCTTTATTAGTTAATATATTTAAAGCAAAGACAGCAAAATGGCAGCCTAAGACTGTGGTCCTCATAAGTGACAAAAGAAAAAAAAAGGAAAAAAGGAAAGTTTTAGTGGTTACTATTTATTAGCACAAATTTTAAATTTGTGTCAATAGATTTCACTACCAAACAAAAAATCTAGGTCTTAGGCTTTTCTTTAAAGGAATCAGCAAATCAGATAACATGGAAATTTCTAATTGTCAGCAGTCAATATAAGGAGTGAATCTTCAGTTCCCCAAAGTACCCACCATTATTGGGCATATAAATGTTCTTATGCACTTATCACCTGCCTGGGTCCTCGGTCTTGTCTTTACAGTAATAAGATATAAACAAAGAAAATTTCCAAATCTATCATTCTTGAATGTTTCTTAATTTAAATCACTAGGTATATATTTAAATCATATATTACTATAAAATAAGAATTTTCTATGCATATTCAGAAAGTTGAACAACATGAGTGCTTTCTAGTGTTATCCAGCTACACTCCAAAAGGCTCACTCTTGAATCATTTAAAAATCTTTATACACATTCATTTTGAGACTATTTCTACTTACTTTCCAGTGTTTGCTGAAGTTCATGGATGGTACTAAGAAGAACGTGAAACTGTTTCCGTCTCAACTCTAGCTGTGTTAATAAAAAAAAAAAAATTATACAAATTGATCTATAAACATACAGATATCATAAAGGCTAACATATATATGCAAATACCTTATCTTCAACACTTTCTTTAATATGTGAGAGATGTTCTAATTCTTTTCCCAGAGCCTCTAGTTCCCTGGAAAAAAATAAACAAGTGTTAAACTTTGTTAATTGGGGGAACAGAATTTATAATTAATATCTAACTTTTTGGTAACTAAATAGTATTTTATTTTATTTATTTATTTATTTTTTTTTGAGATAGAGCCTCAAGCTGTCCCCCTGGGTAGAGTGCCGTGGCATTACAGCTCACAGCAACCTCCAACTCCTGGGCTCAAGCGAGTCTCCTGCCTCCGCCTCCCAAGTAGCTGGGACCACAGGCGCCCAACACAACACCCGGCTATTTTTTGGTTGCAGCCGTCATTGTTGTTTGGCGGGTCCGGGCTGGGGATTCGAACCCGCCACCTTAGGTGTACCTGGCTGGCACCTTAGCCGGTTGAGCTATAGGCGCCGAGCCACTAAATAGTATTTAAAAAATTTTTAAAAGCATGAAGAGCTATACATTCCATTATGTAACACTTTCAAAGCTGAGGGACTTCTTAATTCCCAAATAGGCACTTTTTTCATAACATTTTTAGATAAATTTTTAAAGCATAGGAAAATACACATAATAGAATAACAAGCCTCCTAAACTGATACATTCTGCCATACTTAACTTCAAGGACTTTTTTTTTCTTTTTGTAAAAGAAAGAAAACATTACTGATTAATTTGAAATACCCATTTTGAACCTTAGCCCAGTCCTTTATCCCAGGTTTTTTTCTCTTCTGCCTCCCATTTAGGCAACCATTACATCATTCCAATCCTTTTCTAGGCATATATTTGCACCTTTGAATAACATGAAGTATTAGTATATAATATTTTATTTTATTTATTTGTCTATTTTTTGAGACAGAGCCTCAAGCTGTCCCCCTGGGTAGAATGCCATGGCATCACAGCTCACAGCAACCTCCAACTCCTGGGCTTAAGTGATTCTCTTGCCTCGGCCTCCCAAGTAGCTGGGACTGCAGGTGCCTGCCACAACACCCGGCTATTTTTTGGTTGTAGTTGTCATTGTTGTTTGGCAGGCCTGGGCTGGATTTGAACCTGACAGCTTAGGTGTATGTGGCTGGTGCCTTAGCCACTTGAGCTACAGATGCCAAGCTAGTATATAATATTTTAGGAGGGGTTCTAACTTTTATAAATGGTTATTATTTTGTATGTAATCAGGAAACTTAAGATTAATTTTAAAATTCATTATGTTTTTTTCTTCACTATGTTTTGAGATCTGTGTTTTAAAAGTGTGTATCTAATTTATTCTTTCTAACTGCTATTTGGTATGCTACTGTATGAATAAACCATATTCTATTTATTCATTTTCATATGGATGCCTATTATATGCATTATTTTAGATGTACAGGCAGTAAAGACAGAGAAAGAAAAAAATCTAATTAAGCAGTAATTTAAAAATATAATATTGAAGATCTGATCCCTCCTTTTCAAACATATTATGTATTTCTTTAAAAATAAAATGCATAGACTAGTATAAAGGTTAGTTCCTTTTAAAGTAAAGCTCTAAACTTACTTTAATGTTTCATGCCTGTCTGGATGATGCTGGATCACTTTTGCCAAAGCGTCATATTCTGAAAAACATAAAAATATTTGCCAAACTAAGGTTTTATTGAACCTGGATTATTAAAATGAAGTAATATTACAAATCTCTCCTAATCAGTTTCCTAGTACACCAAGAAATGAAAACACTGAAAGATGGAAAGAATATTGCCAGCTTTACTTGATTCAGCTATAACTGTAATGCTACATGGCTTTAACAGTGTTCCAAACAAAGAGTTTAGCTTCCAAGTCAATTTTTCCATCCATATGTCCTGGACAGAATATAGTAGGACTGCATAAGCATAAAAAACTTAAGTCATTAGTGACCATCAAATATACTAATTATGAAAAGGACTTATTATTTGCTCAGAAAAAAAATCAGTAAAGTATATATA